CTGTTTCTGCGCCCCCCCCCCCTAAAGAAAAAAAAAAAAAAAAAAAAAAAAAAAAACTCTCCAAAATAGTTTATAATCTTAAATATTTCCAATCTGCTAACACTGTTACGTTTTAAGACTATAGTTTCTTCAAGTATCACAGCAAAATGGAGAAAATATAAACATCTTCACAACCAACTAACATTATTTCTGTTGCATGCCTTTGACAGACATAGATGAGTGCACTGCAGGGACGCACAACTGCAGAGCAGACCAAGTGTGCATCAATTTACGAGGCTCCTTCACATGTCAGTGCCCGCAGGGGTATCAGAAACGAGGAGAACAGTGTGTAGGTAAGTATCACAGTGTGGGAAGCAGGCTCCTGTCTTGAGCATCTTAATTGTTTAAGCCTTAGGCTTTCAATTCAAAGCACCTATATTTACTTGGAAAATGACAGCTAACAACTGCTTAATCTTTCATTGACTACCAATCCATTTTCCACACTAACTAGAAAGAACTAACCTTAGGGGCTGAGCCTATTCCAAATATCAAAGTCTTGGTTACATTGTTAGATGAAGCTAAAGCAGAACTGTGGAGTATAATGGAAGTATAAAAGCAACAAGAGAGCCAGCCACAGTGGCGTGGTGGTGGCCTGGGGCTTCAAAATGCTGAGACCACTTGGGAGGATCCCAAATTCTCAGTGGAGATCTATTTATACACAATATGGACACTCATGTTTCTGGCTGGCTGGGGCTGGGGGTTGGATTGCAGTGTGGAGACCCTGCTGGGAGAATCTCCCTGACTTCTCCAGAAACAGGTAAATAAGCTTTTTTTTTTTCCTAAGTTTTTTAATTTTTAAAGGGTGCCAGCAGATGGCATAGTGTTTATGTCAACCATAGTTTGGGTCCGGGACCCAGTGGCTTGAAACTTGCACAGGGTGCATGTGTGTGCATGCCCAAGATCCCGAGAGGAGAATGGAGAAGAAGAGACTGTGGCATGACCATCCCCCATGGCAGTTGATTTCTCACTTTCCCTCACTATTTCTGTCTCTCTTTCCAGCAAGTGTACACACCCTAAGGCAAAAACCTCTACCAAAACACAAACAAACAAACAACAGCAACCAAAAGGGCCAGCCAGTGGTGTGATGGTTAAGGCAATGGGATCCCACATGGCCGACTGCCCTATTAGAGTCTTAGACCCAGTGGCTTGAGAAACATGCCAGGGGCATGTGTGTGTGTGTGCATGTGCAACATCTAGAGAAGAGAATGGAGGAGAGAGGACTGAGGCATAGCCATCCCCATAGAAGGGCGCTTTCTCACTTCCTCTCTCTTTCTCTGTCTCTCCCCAGTGAGCACATGCACCCTATAGCAATTTTTTAAAAATACAAACAAGAAAACAGGTTTAAATTAACTGCTGGGTAGCCATAGCACTACACAATGATGATATGGGCTTCCTTCCTTCTCTCATGCATAGCATAACATTGCTCACAGGACAAATGAGGAGGTTCAAATCCCAGATCCACCCCTAACTCACTTTGAGACCTTGGAAAAAATATTTAAATTCTCGGTCTCTCTCCTGGATCATCTGCGTTGTAGAGATAATACTAGTCCTTACCACAGGCGCTCATGCATGGGAGTACATAGAACAGTGCCTGGCCTGGTGCCATGCAGCTGTGTGCTAGCATTGTGTAGTAAGTTAGCAGACGAGTACTCAAGGTTCTTTATGTTGCTAGCATGTGTAGTGTGCTGGCAGTGCAAAGCCAAGTATGGCACATGCATCTGTTGAGGGTCTGAGTTGAGCTCCCTGAAGGCAGGAGCCAGGTCAATTTTTGTCACCCCAGTCCCGAAACAGTGCCCACTACATCATGGATTTTCTATGCACGTGATTTGAATGAATGGGAGAATGCAGTATAAGGATGCCGACTGGCAAATAGTGAAGTAAAATCATACATTCTCGGCTCAATGGTGAGGACCAGCACTAGGCAGGAAGCTCTGTAATCAACTCCCTCTGTCCGTTTATTTATATACCACCTCTTACTACAGATAAGTAAAGAAGCCTTATTTTCTCTTAAGAACAGAAGGTGAGGATGGGGGAGAAGAGTAGGCAACCAGCATTGATTTTCACCTGAGAAGTGAGCTGGTGACCCTAGGAGGTCAGTGCTGAGCTCCTGCTGGTCCCAGCCCAGTTGGCCTGCTGCACAGCTGAGCCTGCTTGCCCAGAGTGCCCAGCCTCTGAGAAAGGCCCTTTGACTGAAGCTGTGATTTAGAAGAGTGTGTAGAAAACTCCACAGGCACCAAAGTTTTGCTCATTGTATTCGTCAACAAATAAACATTTAAGGACACAAGAAGTACAGAAAAAAAGAACTAACCCAGCTTGCTATGGGGTGAATCAAAGAAAATGGAACATAGGGTCACAGCCCTTCGTCATGCGGTAGAAACTCAGACCTAGCCACGTGTCCTCCCTGCTGTTCCCTTTACTCATGGAATCAAGTCTGCATTCCTCAACAGAGCATAAAAGGTCTTCCTCAACGTGATACACATCCAGCTCTGTTTTGTCAACACCTCTCCCCAAACCCCCCAAAAATTTACACTCCAGCTTCATCCTACTAATTACAGTTCCCACATACATTATTCAATGTCATAGTTGAGTGACTTTACACAGTATCTTTTCAGTGCCAAGTACATTCCCTCCAGGAAAACTCTAATCTACTACCAGATCCCAGCTCAGGTCTCCCCCTCTGAGAAGCCTGTCATGATCTACCTAAATATAATTAGTCATTTCTTTCTTTATGCCAGTACAAAATGTATAAAAATTTACAATGTTACAGACCCATACCTTTGTAAAGTGTAATCAAATGTTGCGGTAATGTCAGATTGTTACTCTTAAACATGTATTCTCCATTTCTGTGTTTATTCGTTGCAGTCTAGTCCAGATAGTCTATGGATTAGCAAGTCAACAGGCCACACCTCAAGCAGTGCTGCTCCCTCTGTCCCTTGAATACCATTCTATTATTGATTCTAGTCCGTAGAATAGCATGCCTCTCTTCCATAGTGGACATTACCAACATGCAGTGTCATTAATGAGACAAAGAAATTTGTTATTAATTGTTGAAGATAATTTAATAGTTTTATCAACTGGATTAGGGAGAAATGTTCACACATTGAAGTATTCACTTTGTAAGCTAAATAACGTGATTGAATGTATAAAAATGAAATAAAAAAATTAATCTAATAAAAAATGCAGTGTCAAACATAATGCTAGCAAATAACAATGGGTGGATGAATGTTTATCAGTTGAGAAGACATGCATCATTTATTCATAGAAGACTTACTGAGGACTGACTGTGTGCCGGGCACTGTTTGAGGTGCTGAGCTATAATAATGAACAAACAGATTTTACATAATTACAGCTCTCATGAAGCTATTAGGAAGTACCAGTTATACAAATTAACTGTCAATATTGGCACCTAACTATAGTTCAGGGTCCTAGAAAGCACTGTGCTAAAAGTGTTTTTAACTAGTGTGGTTTCCATTCATTCTATAATGTTTATAAGGCAAGTATGAAGCATGTAGCAGTCGACAGATAAAAAACGTTCTACTGAAGCAAGCCAGACCATAAAAGAGAGGCATCATATGTCCCAACTTAATATAAACTCAATGTCTGCACCCTGAGGCAGAAACTAAAATACTGGACAGTATAAAAGTATGCAGAGCAACTGTGGATACCAGATACAGAGTGCATGGAGGGTAGGAAATGGCAGAGGGTAAGAGGAAAAGAATCAAGGGGGAAAAAGGAAGTAAAATACATTAAAAATAAATAAATAAATAAAAATCATCAATCATCAAAATTGTGAAAAGAAAAACAAACAAACAAACAAAAAACACTCTGCCTCCACCTCAAGGGAAGGAGGCAGTTCTTTTTGGCCATAAATTTGAGTGAGGGAGTCAGACAGGAAGCAAATGAATACATAACAAAATGTCAAGTCCTATTAAGTGCTGCAGAGAAAACTAAAGCAGGATAAGGGGGTAGATAGGGCAGGAAAACAAAAAACATATAAAGTATGGGTGGGAGGGGTGACCTCCCTGAGGAGATGACATTTGAGCAGATATTTGAACAAAGTATGGAAAGAAGCATGTGAATATTCTTATCACTTATTCAATATTCAGGTTAATTCAAATGTATCTTGTAGCTTATTAATAATGGCTTCTATTTATTTTTTACCTGCTACATGTCAGGAACTTTGTCTACATTGTGTCATGTAATCCTCCCAGCGATTCCACTGCATTGTTATATAAATACTTACAGAAGAGGAAATGGAAGCTTGAGAGGTTAAGATGAAGCTAGTAATTTCTAGAATAAAGATTCAAACTCAGGTTACCCTGAGGCCACTTGAGACAATGCCTCCCATAGTTTTAGTTATTAAAGTACCAGAAGAGCTTATCATAAAGTTTTGTTTTACCGTAAAGCAGTCACTATATAGTGTTACATGGTACATACATCATTATTGTTTTGTATTACACGTCTTGTTGGAATTGTCACAAAGTATAGAATCATGAATTAGTGAAATTTTATTAGGCTTGTAAGATGTTAGTCCTAACTGGGAGTTCTCAACTGAGCATTTCATAGTTGGAAATATTTACATGAAAAGACACAGGCTAAACACTTCATCAGAGTGTCAAAAGGGAACTCTTATGAGGTAACTTTAGCATCCCATTCCTTCCACAACATTCTTTCCTTTCCTCAGATACACAGGACAAACCTCACTATCCACATTTTGCAGAGAGGAAACCGAGATGCTCAACATTTAAGAGACAATAGCAGGGTCACCAGCTGAACATAGCCCACAACTCCTTTCTCTTAAGTTTTGTGCTGCATCATTCAATTTATCAGTAGTTCTTTTTTACTTCTGTCATTATAAATAAGCTTTTAGCTACCCAAATTGGCATTCATATAGAGAGATGTTGATTTTAGTCCATGGAATACTTTGTTTCATTCTTCTCTTCCACAAATGATCAAAGGAGCAAAACAAATATATATTTGTTATTATATATAATACATATATTTACATATAGTAGTCTTAATTACTTTTCTCTCTTTAAATCTCAACCCACCCAACTAGGTTTATTTACCACTGAATGGTATGAATGTTTAGTCTTTTTTTTTTTAACATCTTACATAACTGCAGAATGTAGTCAAAAACATATTTAAAATACATATGGGCTAATTTTCCTTCCTTCCTTCTTTCCTTGCTTCTTTTCTTTCTTTCTGCCAGAGGGTGCATGTGCTCACTGAAGAGAGATAGAGGCAGGATATGGTGAGAAAGTACTCACACCCATGTGCCAGGTGTGTTTCTCAGACCGACAGGTCCCAGACTCAGACACCTGGTCAGCCATGTGGGATCCAGCCGCCTTAACCACCAGGACACAGGCTGGCCCAAGAGGTAATTACTTCAAGATATTCTCTAGCTAGGTTATCTAAATAATGCTCTACTGGGAGTTTAAAAGCCAATAGCTATACTAAGTCAATAATTTGGTTCTTTTTTGTGTGTATGTACCTGATACCCTAGACATAGATGAATGCACCATTCCTCCATATTGCCACCAAAGATGTGTGAACACTCCAGGCTCCTTTTACTGCCAGTGCAGTCCTGGGTTTCAATTGGCAGCAAACAACTACACCTGTGTAGGTAAGCTTTTTGGGACCTGCCATCCTGATTTCTGTCTTCAAAGAAAGGAAACCCCATGCCACACTGCAGTATTTCCAGTGTTCTATGTTCTTGAGTAAACTTGTTTTTGCCAACTTCCCTTAGGCAATCATAAAGCTGAAAAGACAATAGCCAATCTGTTTCTTAAAACACATCAAGATGTGAATGGAAAACTTTTCTAAACTTGGTTTTAGTTCTTCTCTGTGGGTGTATCAAAAAAATTAAACACTACAGATCAATTGATATCCACACACCGATTAGTCAACAGTGTGTGATATAAATGCTGAAGATGCCAAAGGGGTTACTCCAAGTTCAAGTACATAAACTTTCCACTGAAAGCGCATCTGATTTTTACATGCTTTTTCTCCTCTTCAGAATGCAATGTCACGGCACACAATTTTAAGATTGGCATGACATGGAAAGAATCTAGTGAAGGAAAAATGCCTTTTCACAATATTTTCAGTGCCTTAGAGCATTGCAAAACTCTGTATGAGTCTCAAAGGCTTATGTTATAATTGTAATGGAATTTAACAGAACCCATTTAAAAAGTAATAAATAGCACAGATAAATCTTCACTACAGCATGCTGAGAGACCATATCAGTCTAAGTGTCTACTGTCAATTATTTATAGACTTGGCAGTTTGTAGCTGAACAACAACAAAAGAAAATAGATACTGGAATGTATATTTATTAGAAGCATTAAATTCTTTTGGGAAGATTCATCAAACATCAAACTAACTGACATTCCTAGAAAAAAATTATTCTGGTATTTCTACAAAAAGTATATGACAGGCCTTTGAAGTTGTTCCAGCAAATAAGAAACCTGAATAGATGTTTTCCAAAGAGCTTCTGCAGGGCAAAGAATTCAGCTAGGGAATTATCCACTTATCAGCAGATGACATAGGTACAAAAGAGCAAGGATATATTTAAAGACGTGTGTGTGTGTGTGTGTGTGTGTGTGTGTGTGTGTGTGTGTGTGTGTGTGTGTGTGTGTGTGTGAACCTTTCCTTCCAGATATAAATGAATGCGATGCCAGCAATCAATGTGCTCAGCAATGCTACAACATTCTTGGTTCATTCATCTGTCAGTGTCATCAAGGATATGAGCTAAGCAGCGACAGGCTCAACTGTGAAGGTAAAATCATTTCCACACAATGTGTAATAAGTTCCCATCCCTATAACTGCTGTTGCTTTATGTGATTATATACCCGATTACTCACCTAAATGCTGTTCTAAAATCCAGTTAATGTAACTCAGCTGTAACACTGGGTCTTTAATATGTTGCCAAGGAAAAGGAGAAGAAATACAAATAACTGATATATTAGATGCAGACTAGATCTAATCATTAGAAAGGGTATCTTGCTTCTCAAAGTACGATCTGATAACCGGCACCTTCGGCACCTCTTAGGAGCTTATAAGAAATGCAAAATCTCTGGCCCCAAGCCAGACCTCCTGAGTCAGAATCTATCTACACTTAACAAGCACTCTGGTGACTCATGTGCACATTTAAGTTTGAGAAGAGTTGAGTGCATGTCAAAAACATTAGAGTAAAAACCAAGAGACCTGGCCCCTAACCTTAGTTGCCACTATGTGACTTGGGCACATTTCTTACACTGCCTGGGTTTCACTTTCCACATGACTAGAAAGAGGGCCATGTAATTGGGTGGATGACCTTCAGAGTCCATGGTACGTACATGTTCTGCTATGTAACTCAAAAGACATAAGACATCCTGAGGGAGATGCCATCAACACCTGATGTCTCTGATTTCTTCACAGTCCCTTCCAGATTTGCTGGGACCACAAAGGTCAAACCCTACTCAAAGAGGCCTCGCATCATGCCATTGTGCTCATAACAGAAGGGGGCTGACTAGACAGCTAGCTGCTTCTGCCCTTCTGAGCAAACTCTAGAGACATTACTATTCAGAAATGCCAAGAATTTTTCCCCTAAAGGCCAGATCCTGCTGGGACATCACCTCTAAAAGTTTGTACAAGGATGTAAATTGGAGTTCAAAGCTCAGATTAATTTGGCAATACAGTCACCCATTGTCTGAGAGCAGACATGAATCTGCATCATGGGTGGCTCTGCAGAACCCAAAGAATATCAACCACAAGCCAGTTCATTCAGTCTGTTCAGCTGATATCATTAGGTCTAGGATTAGCCAATGATTCAGCAAAACTAATGTGCTGTGGAGTCATAATCAGAAATGAGCTGAGTGTTAGAATTTGCCCTTGAGTTTCTTACTAAGTCTTATACTTCTATGTCAGTTTGCAATGCTTTACCAATGTAGTGAGGTGTAAGCTCATCAACTCTGTGTCCTTGCTTTTGTCTGATTTAACAGACATTGATGAATGCAGAACCTCAAACTACCTGTGTCAATATCAGTGTGTCAACGAACCTGGGAAATTCTCGTGTATGTGCCCCCAGGGATACCAAGTGGTGAGAAGTAGAACATGTCAGGGTAAGTTCATTGTTTTCACGTATGGTAAGTGTTCAGTTTTAGCCAGAAAGAGCAGGGAGGAAGTTATAGGATTATCTCCCAGAGACTTTCATTTTTCCTACCTTGACTATGCAATTTGAGCTTTTCACCTGTTCATCATGAGATATGCAAATCTCATAAAGAGAGATTCAAAGTTAAGGATGACTTTCCCTGAAATTCAAGATAATACATTTTCTTTCTGAAACTATAAGTAATTTTAATAAAATATTGATATCACTTATGGATAGCCTACATGATGTCTATGTGATTACATCTTCTAATCACTTGCCACAAAATATTTATTTAAAATGTTTCCTCTGACTTTGAGTATAGAACCAAACCTTAATATGTGGGTTAGGTGTAACTCAAGCCAGTCACAATTCTCTAAAACAGTTATAAATAAAGTAGTAATTTCAGTGCTGAGGAAAAATCAGCCTAACATGTTATAAAAATGTGTTTGAATTCATGGGACCAGCAGTTAGCGTAATGGCTATGTTGCTGGACTCCCATGTAGTTGACTGTGGTTCGCGTCCCAGACCTGGTGGCTTAAAACTCACACCAGGTGCGTGTGTGTGCGTGCCCAAGATCCCGAGAGAATGGAGGAGAAGGGATTGTGGCATGGCCATTCCCCCTAGGGGATGATTTCTCGCTTTCTGTCTCTCTGTCTCTGCTGTCTGGTGAGCGCACACGCCCTATAGTAAAAACCTCTTCAAAAAAAAAAAAAAATGTGTTTGAATTCTTTAGGGGAAAAAGAAAAACTACTGATCCAAAAATAGCTAATGGCTTTGGGTCCAGTTTCAAAATAAATACTCGGATGATTTTCACGCCTGCCTATAGGTAGAACAGGCAGCTCTTTCCAATAGTAAAATTTCTTCAACAGGGAAAAGACAGACTAAAATATGTATTTTAATTACATGTATATATATATATATAATCTTGGAAACACTAGTGCAAATACAAAGCAGTGTAAGAGTGAAAAATAAATGACTGAACTTAAGGACAGTAAACCTGTCTGAATGCTAGTTCTACTCCATTCCATCTGTCCAATCTTAAATTAGCAAACCTCTTTGAGCCTCAGCTTTCTCTTTCGTAGAATGAAGTTGTGAGAATTTAATGAAATTACATACACAAATATATTTGTAAGGCCTGTAAAATTCAAGGTGTTTTTATGAAATTTACCTACCAATGTAAATAACTAGTAGTAAATCTTTTTTTTTTTATTATTTTTTTGAAGAGGTTTTTGCTATAGGGCGCGTGCGCTCACCAGACAGACAGAGAGAGACATAGAGACAGAAAGTGAGAAATCATCCCCCGGGGGGATGGCCACACCGCGATCCCTTCTCCTCCATTCTCCTCTCGGGATCTTGGGCACGCATGCACATGCGCCCGGCGTGAGTTTAAGCCACCGGGTCCAGAACTCGAACCGCGGTCGACTACGTGGGAGTCCAGCGACATAGCCATCACGCTACCTGCTGGTCCCACTAGTAGTAAATCTTCTGTAAAGAGTCTTTTTTAGTCAGAATTGGAGAGGAGACACACAAGGACAGTGAAGACCCTTTAAGAAAGGAAAAGAAAGGAAAGAAGTCCCTGGGAATTCTCAGTCTATATCATGATTTTACAGGAAATTATTAACTCAGAGGAATATCCATGACCTGGAATTTTTAAGTATGATTTAACTAGACTATACCCAGTAGCTGTAAGCATAATCAGAATGTAGTTCACTGCACAACAAACATCTTTCTAACCCTTTTCATGTTACTAGATACTCTACAAATGTTTATTGTAAAAGACATTGTATTCCAGTGATTTTCCCTACTGAGCTCTAATTGATACTTTCAACTTGAATATTACGTACAGGGAAATGTTAGCCAGTGGGTTATCTTAACAAATTTTCCTAGAGTTCTTCAAACAAATATCTATATGTGTTTTGGTAAAAAATGTATTAAAGATCAGCAAAAGACAGAAGCATATTTATGTACAGTGAAATCTTACCTGCCTAGTCTACATATCTGAAAACATTTATATCTGTTGTAATCAAAGTTCAGAAATGCACTGAAATTGCAAATGAGGGATTCGTGAATGTTATATGTTGAAGATATGCAGCTTCAGAATGTTCAGTTAAGCCAGAAATGTTTTTGTGGAAGAGACTTACATTCTTAATAAAGTATAAAGCAATTGTTTTCCCTGCTGAAACCATCCCTTTAAGCCTCATCCACAGGAATAAAGTAAAATTGAAAAGATCTGGGTTCTTATCTTCCTCCAAAAGGCTTATTTTTTAGATGAAATATCTGTTCTCATTTCCACAGGCTTGCAAAAATGAAAACATTGTGTGTACGTGCATGTGTGCACGTGTAGAGACAGAAAGAATATACATACACACAGACACATTTACTTTAAAAATTTTTTTTCTTTTCTTTTTTTGGAGAGGTTTTTGCTATAGGGCATGTGTGCTCTCCAGAAAGACAGAGAGACAGAAAGCGAGAAATCACCCCCCAGGCGGGATGGCCACACTGCAATCCCTTCTCCTCCATTCTCCTCTCGGGATCTTGGGCACGCACGCACACGCGCCTGGCGTGAGTTTAAGCCACCAGATCTAGGACTCGAACCACGGTTGACTACATGGGAGACCAGCAACATAGCCATTATGCCAACTGCTGGTCCCTTAAAATATTTTTAATACTATTAATTTCGGGAAAACCTTCCAGAATTATTAAAGTGTTGATTATGCTAGGCTCTGAATTACTAGATGTAATAAATCAAATTACAACATAGTTTCCTTTGTCACTGTTGGATCACTCTTAGTTTTCCCTGTATCTAAATAGCATCTTAATTTTTCAAAAAAGTGAAAAATATTGAAAGGACAAGGCAATTGTGATTTCTTCTGGGGTATCTAAGTGTTCTTTCTTTAGCCATAGCCAGTACAGGAAGATCCTTTTTGTAACTGGCTTTGGAAATTACATAGCTTTTCCAGCCTCCTCTTGGATTCCAGATGACTTTAGGCAGTTTGGAGGCTAAAATAATTTCATTCTCTCCCAGAACAAGACATAGAATTATTCATAAAAGTACCTTGCACTGGAAAGATGTCTGTTGCTAATGATATGAACTTGAACCACTCTCTTTTACCAGATGGAAATATCTTTCTCACCTATCCCCATACAGTTTGTTTGAGGAGAAATTTAGTCCAACTTAATATTTCTTAAAAACCAGGTGCCCCCAGTGCATTAATATGAGGTGATGAAAAGATAAACTGATGGGTACAATTGCCCTTTCTCTCAAGGAGTTTACAAATAGAAGCGTTAAGGACAAACATGCAGATTCCAGTAATGCAAAGCAGAAAGCAATAAAGACCTATAAGAAGAGCCTGAGGTGTAAGAATTCAAAAGTCACATCTCAGCTCTTTGCCCATATTGGCTTGTAGCATACTGGCTTACAGTAAAGATGCTATAATTATTTACGGAATGAGTAATTAATGAATGAAAGGATCTGATTGTGAGGACAAAAATGATTCTGAAAAGGCTTACATTAGATAAACTACAAACAACAACTTCAAGTGTAAAGGGAAATAGACACAGATAGGAATGGGGACTTTAATTTTTTTGTTTTGTTTTTGCCATAGGGCATGTGCACTTGCCTAAGGGAGACAGAGAGAAAGAGGGAATCTGAGGAATTACCCCTCAGGGGGATGGCCACACCACAATCCCTTCTCCTCCAGTCTTCTAGGGATTTGGGGCATGCATGCACACACTGGGTGTGATTTTTAAGCCGTAAGGTCCGAGACTTGAACCACACAGTCATCCATGTGGGATCCAACTCCTTAACCTCCACACCACCTCCTGGCCTGAGACATTGGTTTTAAGTGTCAGCATCATTGTTGTTATCAATGTAATGACTCCCTAGTAAAACTTCCTCTCAAAATCATCTGGGTGCTCCTAATTCTCAACTCTAAAATCAGCCCTTTCCACCCTGGCCATCCACAGCCCAGCTCTCCTCTGAGACTTTATTCCCTTCTGGCTTCTTTGGCACTTCCCTTTCCTGGGTTGCCTCTCCCACAGCCTCTTCATCCCACTGTCCTTAAATAGCCATGTTCCACCAGGAGGGGCACGCATAGCTTCACTTCTTGTGCCCTGCTTCCCCCAGACAATATAATCTACTCACAGACCCTTCACTATCCAGTGGCATGCTGCTGCTTACCAAAACCTCATTTCTAGCCTTTTCCTCCCTGCCAAGCTCCCAAGACAAAGGATAAGTTGCCTTTATTATAGTTTTTGCTTGTTGCTTTCTCAGCCTTAAAAGCCTTCTCTACCTCAGCCATGCACTCACCACCATCTAACTACCGCCCTTTAAGGTCACACTGAGATGCGTCCCTCTTTCTTCAGCCTTTCCTAATCGTAGGCAGAATCAATCAATTCTGTTTCAGATCCTCCATTACCTAGATCTTATTTAATTCTTATCTCTTACTTAATTCCATTTTACTTTATAAGTAACTATTGCCATATATATAGTTCCAATTACTCTCTCTTATGGCAAGAACTGGTATTTTTTACTTTTATAGAAGCAGAATCAGTGGTTGGCATTTGACTTTGAATTCAGCAAACAATACATGCTTGATAAAATACCATAAAATGACACTGTCTAGAATGGCTCAGTTCTATCTGTCCCACATTCAGTGCAGTGAACTCAGTTTCACCCAGATTTGTGTAGAAGCAAGTTAGACACAGTCCAGATTTTCATACATCTCCTTTCCTGTAAAACAGAATCTGCCAGTTATACACTTTCTTAGGGCAATAAAGCCTTTGACCCTGTGTCTCGACAGATATAAATGAGTGTGAGACCACAAATGAATGCCGGGAAGATGAAATGTGTTGGAATTACCACGGCGGCTTCCGTTGTTACCCACGAAATCCTTGTCAAGATCCCTATATTCTAACATCAGAGAAGTAAGAAAAATCAGAACTTTGGAAAGTGAGAATTTGCTGGTTGTACCAAGCCAAACTGGTGAATACTTCTGTTTGTCTCTGCAGCCGATGTGTTTGCCCCGTCTCAAATGCTATGTGCCGAGAACTGCCCCAGTCCATAGTCTACAAATACATGAGCATCCGATCTGATAGGTCTGTGCCATCAGATATCTTCCAGATACAGGCCACTACTATTTATGCCAACACTATCAATACTTTTCGGATTAAATCTGGAAATGAAAATGGAGAATTCTACCTAAGAGTAAGTATCCTAAAGGCTGTGGTAGCTATTGAGAGGAGTAGAAGTATGTTGTTGTAGTGTAGGACTCATATGGAAGAAAGCTAACATTTAAAGAGTTTTATGTGCAGGCACTGTGTAAATACACATTCTCATTTAATCCTCTTAGTAAGACTGTTGATGGATATTCATAATTCTCTCCATTTTCTACAGAAGAGAAAAATGAGACTCAGATTAAGTAGGTGTGTGACCACGACAACACAAGCCTACACACACACACATACACACACACATGCACACTCCAAATATGCATCACAAATTGCAAACAGTGATAATTATTTAAGCATACATAGAAAATAATAATAATTTCCTAGAGAGCTTTTCAAATTCATGATATTCTTATTACATTCACAAGACAGTTAACATTCCACACCACAACTAAAACCTGTACGTCTCTGAGAAGTGACCCACCTCTCTGCATAGTATGGGGTTGTCAGAAAAGTCACGACATACTTTTCTATGCAAAAAATACATCATGACTTTTCTAATAACCCAACAATTGTGTCATTCTTGGAAATTTCTAGGCAAACAATATGGGATCACCTTTGTCTGTTCTGTCTTTTGCCTGTGTGAAATGGTGTCTTGAATTCTGCATTTCTCTCTCCACAGTGTCTCCTGAGTCATCTCCCCACCCCCAACCCCATGCCCCTGCCTCCCGTTCTTTAAATGGGCTCCTGTTATCTCCCATGATCTCTCCAGAGGCTTCCAAGCTGCTCTCCCTGACTCTAGCACCTCAGTTTTCCAGTCTGTCCTGCAAAATCCCAGCAAGTTCATTTTAGGTTAAAATTCTGACACATTTTAAATACAGCTCACCACTTCATGTGAAAACGATGGCACCCCACCAAGGAGTTTGCAGGGTTACGGTAACTGTTTCATGCTAAGGATGTTATTCATCCAGTTACATTTTTCTCAAAACTCCTCTGGGCACTCTATTTTTAATCAAATTTTAAAGTTAGTATTTCATTATGAGAATATGAAAGTAAATTGAGAAATCCATCCTTGTGGTAAAGTTTACAGAGTTTTAATATTTACACGTTTATCCTGTTCTTTGATATATTAACTTTGCTTCCAGCTCCAGAGTTATGTGATTTCATTTCTTTTCCAGTAAATTAGAAATGATTAATTTCTCATGACCAACTTCTAAAGAGAAAAACCCAACCCAAAATACAATCTATTACTATTATTTTTTCTTTTCTAATAGGAAAAAATAAACTGTTAAAACATTTGCTGTTCTAAAACTTGAGATCTACTAGGTATTTTTAAGACATTTCCTCTAAAACAATTTTACACAGTTTAAATATACCAGTTAAATAATTATAACTCAAACAAACAATACCATCTATAAAATCATGTTAATAAAATAGGTTAATCTCAAAATCTTTAAAAACAATTTTCTATTTTGAACTCTTAGCCATAATTTTAAAAAATAAAATTTTCTAGCAGAATCAGCAGTTAAATGAAATTACATTTTTTTTTTGCAATGAATATGGTATTTTGAAAGTTATTTATGATTCATATCAGTGCATTTATAAGCTTGGTGTTTTCAAATATACAGTGGTTTTCTCAAGTGAAATCTTTTTCCTCATGAATGATATAAATCATTTCCAATTTTGATCATCCCAGAGTTATTTTTAATTATTTGAAACAAAAAAAAATATTTAAAATAATTAAAATAGATATTTCAAGTTTATTTCTTATCACATAATTTTAAAAGTTCTTAGATCAAATCTCATACAATTTCTCCACTGAAATTCCACTTGTGCAGAGGGCATTTAATGCATAGAAATCAACTAGCACCTACTATGTGCTCGGCTCCATGCCAGGTGCTATGAGGAATTAAAAAGTCACATAATACCTAATTCCTGATTTCAAAGAGCTTAAATATTACTGTGTAGCAAAAGTTAACATCTATGAAAAAAGGAGTCACTTTTGCGTTTAAGTCCACAGTCCATCAAAAAAATCAGTTTGGGCTAGAGTAATCAAGAAAGGCTTCTTGACAGTCACAAAAATTGGGACCAGTAGTTAGTGTAATGGCTATGTTGCTGAACTCCCATGTAGTCGACTGCAGTTCGAGTCCTGGACCCGGTGGCTTAAACTCACGCTGGGTGCGTGTGCGTGCATGCCCAAGATCCTGAGAGGAGAATGGAGGAGAAGGGATTGTGGCATGGCCATTCCCCCTGGGAGGTGATTTCTCGCTTTCTATCTCTCCGTCTCTTTCTGGCGAGTGCACGTGCCATATAGCAAAACAAACAAACAAACAATAAAAAAACTCTAAAAGAAAAAAAAATGACCTGATCCTTGAAAGGAAATGTGAGTTATAGAATTTCATCTATATTCCTTTTGAGAGAACTCTGAGGAAACCTTCTTCCCTAAAAAAAGATATACTGTCAAGAAGTAGTACATGACACTGAAGGTAGAATATTGCCCCTCCCTCACTAGACTGTATATTCATTCATAACCTTATTACCACCTGGTATATCATTGACTTGACTGTGATGTCCACTAGTATGTGGAGTGGAGACTTGCCACCTCCTATCCTCAGCACATAGAATGGGAGTGGAGACTTGCCACCTTCTATCCTCAGTACACAGAATGGTGCCTGGCACATAGTAGGTGCTCAAAAAAATATTTTTAAATAATTAACTCAATCAACACCTTCAAGGTATGACTATTACCTACAACTATTGCTTAGGAGAGGCAAACACCATGGAAGATCCTAAAGACACAACAAGGAATAAAAACCAAGCCAATTCCTGCCCCCAGTAGAGCTTTTAATCAAGACATTAAGCAAGTGCTTAGAACAGTTGTACAAGAGATTGAGTGCTAAACAAGTAAACCTAAGCAAAACAGCAGTGGTCCAGGGGCCTTCTAGGAAAAAAAAAAAAAAAAAAAAAAAAAAAAAAAAAAAAAAAAAAAAAAAAAAAAAAAAAAAAAAAAAAAAAAAAAAAAAAAAAAAAAAAAAAAAAAAAAAAAAAAAAAAACCTCCTTTTTTCTGTCTTGAGCAAACAGTAAGTGGTGATGCCATGTACTGAGTTGTGGAGAAAGGAGCCAGTGTGGAGGGAAGGTAGAAAGTTTGGTATGAATATATTATGTCCTGGTCCTCATGAGACATCCATGTAGAAAGCTGGCTATGTGGTTTTGAAACTCAAAATACAGACTTTCAAGTCACTGACAAACACATGATAATTGAAGCCATGGCTATCAATGACATATATGTATCAGTCAGGGAGACTGTAGGACATGGTAGGATGACTCAGAAGACTAGGGTGGGTATGGGGCCTAAAATACCAAGTGTTCCTTTCTATAACCTGATTTGGACACTATCAGAATTGCCCAGTACTTTAGTCTACAATTCCCTGGCCATTCTGTCCCCATGACCTATAGCTTCATGCCATTCTGCCATCAACCCCCATGGCCAAGCCCTGAGCTTTGTTATCATTCAGAATCATTCTACTTGAAAATCTTAGCCTCAGGAGACTCGCTCAATAACTGGTCCTCCTTCCTCTCTTTCATGGCCTTATTCTTCTATCCATTCTTCACCCTCAAAGTGATGCTACTTTTCTAGTATCCCCTGTAACTTTCCCCTCACTCTCCTACCTCCTCCCATTTTCTTCCTGTCTATCAACTGCTTGGTGTACACTTGAACTCCTCTGTCACCAAAACTCTAACCTTCTGCCCAGTAATCCTGGATCAATCTTGTCCATGTCTATTTTCATACCCAGCTTGTCCAAAGAGATTGCCAATACCATAAAATCTTAATCTCCAACTTCAAATGGGTCCTTATGTTCAACAATCCCCTTCAATAGACCAATAGACATGGCTTACCAAACTTCCCATCCCACTGCAGTACAAGCTGAAGTTTATGAGTCTCCCTTAGAACTGACTTCCTCTCATTTCAAAGACAGGTTTCCCTTCTGTCAATGAAGGCCAACCCACCGCTGTGCTCTTCATTCCTACTCCTTTAGAACCAGGTTTCATCAGGCTCCCCTCTACCTCCTACATATTCAACTTGTTTCTCCCTCTAGATGTTTCCCTGTTTCTTCTCTCTCTTGTGAGACCAGGTTCTTAAAATTCATTCTGTAATCATAGTCTGTGTTTCCTCACTTCGTGGCCACTTCTCTGTCTTCCCTTTATACTGTCCTATGGAAGTTACTGTGAAAAAGAACTCATCCTTCCCATTCTATTGGATATTTCTGGCCACTCATCTGTTTTCCAAATTATCTATATCTTCTTAGCTTTCTTCAGTGGTTTTGTGGTTTCTCCTCTGGCTGCTCCCTGAACGTTATCCTCTGCTAGGACTTCAGCTTTATCATTACACACTCACACATACACACACATATATACATTCTTCTTTCTTGGTTTAATGTTCACCCACTGAGATGATTGCTAAATCCTAGTCCATGTCTCCATTCCTTGGCATTCAGACTCATATATCCACTCACCTGACTCTCCAACCTCATCTCCCTCCACTCTCTAAAACCCATCACCTTCATCAAAATGAAACTTCATTTAGTTTTCTTAAACATACTACTTTACAAAACTTCCATTTATCCCGATGACTCTCCTTAGACATTCAAAAGTCTTCCCTTGATGTTTCAGGGTCCTTTGCTTTTTCTTTGTGTATATACATCTTGACATATCTTTATACCTACTCTCCATATCCCCCATGTTGTCTTAACATTTACCATAGTCTATTGAAATCAACTACAGTCATGCACCACATAAAGGAATTTCAGCCAATTATGGACCACATATATGATGGTGGTCCCATAAGGAGCATGTAGACTATGCCATATAGTGTTGGTTGTAATAGATTTAAGTTTGGGTGCCATCTAGGTTTGTGTAACTATACTCGATGATGTTCTCACAATGATAAAATTACCTAACAACACCTTTCTCAGAACATATCCGTATCGCTAAGCAGTGCGTGACAATACTCTATGTGTCACTGCCTACAATGTTGAGCAAGTGAAAAGTGACAACTTTATTTACCAGTTCAAAAATGATCAGGTTCAGGCCAGCCTGTGCCCTGGTGGTTAAGGCAGCTAAATCTCACATGGCTGACCATGATTTAAGTCCTGTACCTGGCAGCTTGTATGCCCAAAATCCCTATATGAGGAAAAAATAGAAAAAGGATTATGGCATGACTATGCACCATGCAGGGTGATTTCTCTCTCTCTGTCTGTCTCTCTCTACTCCCTCCCTCTCTTACCCTCTCTCTTTCACACATATCTTCTAGCAAAAAAAAAAAATCAGCTTCTCATCTGAACTCTAGTCTTTATGAAGACTGGAACCACTCAATAAAAGGGACGAGAAATGTTAACAGAGAGGGAGGAATAGAAAACAAAGCACTATCAAAAAATAAGGTCCTCAGGAACCAGCAGTTAGCGTAATGGCTATGTCGCTGGACTCCCACATAGTCGACCGCGGTTCATGTCCCGGACCTGGTGGCTTAAAACTCACGCCGGGCATGTGTGCGTGCGTGCCCAAGATCCCGAGAGGAGATTGGAGGAGAAGGGATTGCGACGTGACCATCCCCCCTGGGGGGTGATTTCTTGCTTTCTGTCTCTATGTCTCTCTCTGTCTGTCTGGCGAGCGCACGCGCCCTACAGTGAAAATCTCTCCAAAAAAATAAATAAATAAATAAGGTCCTTGTCACTTAGAGCGAATGACTATATGTGAACAAATTATAAGAACCAAGAAGAATTAAAACCAAGAAGGGACTAAGTAGTGGCTCTTTTATCCCACCCTCAAAATTTTTTCCTTAATTCTTTTAGGAGATAGTCTAAAAAATAATAGAAACTCCAACCCAAGAAAAATTATTCTCTCCCTTCATTCATTTTCTTTTATTGTAGCAAACAAGTCCTGTGAGTGCAATGCTTGTGCTCGTGAAGTCGCTATCAGGACCGAGAGAATACATCGTGGACCTGGAGATGCTGACTGTCAACAGTATAGGCACCTTCCGCACAAGCTCCGTGTTAAGATTGACAATAATAGTTGGGCCATTTTCATTCTAGTCTTCTATAGGAGTCCACCACAGGCATTTAAATCAGCCAAAGAATATTGATACCCTAAAGCACTATTTTATTTATAGATATATCTAGTGCATCTACATCTCTCTATTCTGTACACTCATCCATAATTCAAACAATTACACCATGGTATAAAGTGGGCATTTAATCTGTAAAGACTCAAAGTTTGTCTTTATTACTGTTTGTAAATTAGACATGAATTTCTGGTTTTCTTTAAGAGAGTTAGCATACACCATCCAATGAAACCTGGATTCATTCCAATAAAAGTGGGACCAAGCAATGATGATTTCTGTTTTGCTCAAGAAGTCACTACAACTCCACCAACAGTTTCATAAGGAGGCAGCCATCATACCATTGAATAGGCAAGAATGAGTTTTTTAACTGCTTTGTAAGAAAATGGAAAAAGTCAATAAAGATATATTTCTTTAGAAAATGAGGATCTACCATATTTGTGTTGGTTTTTATTTTCATGATCAGTCTAAAGGTATTGTTGATTACATGGTAATGAATCACTATTGTACAATATGCTGATTTCAGCAAGGTATTTTTAGATTTTTTTTTAAAGAAATTATAAAATTTGGGACCAACCCATGTCCTGATGTTAATATGAACTGAATCCCACATGACTGGGTGCATAGTTCAAGTCCTAGACCCAGCAGCTAGAGAAGCACACTGGGCACGTGTGCAAGTGTGCCCCCCAAATCCCAAAAAGGTGGGAGAAATGGAGAAACAATTGAGGCATGGCCATTCCCCGTTGGGGGTGCTTTCTTGCTCCCTCCCTTCTTTCTGTCTCTTTCTAGCAAGTGTATGTGCTCTCTGCCAAATTTTTAAAATGAAAGAAATTATAAAATTTACGACAACCATAAATCCAACTTCTGGAACTATCATTAAAATTTGAGAATGGTCTGCTTTGCATTCTGGTCTATAGTTTACATATAATTATTATACATATTAGTGGGATACAGTATGGATTTTCAAAGCATGCATATAGTATGTAATATATAAGCATATTTATCTTTCTCAGTATTGAACATTACATCATGTTGCATACATTCAGTAATAGTTCCCCTAGTTTTATTTGTTTGCTTGGAAGTATATGTTGAATTGTCAATGACATTTTTTACTCTGGTGAGGTATACTGTTCCATAACCTATTTCACTTGTCTACGTGTACTGAAATAAGCCAGGCTGTAAAAGACAAATACTGTGTGTCCCCACTTGATATATACTGAATGTCTGTACTCTACAGCAGAAACTGAAGGACTAGAAGGCATTAAAGTAGAAAGAGTAATGGTAGATACCAGAAACTACATAGGGGAGAATTTAGAGGAAATGATTAACAGGTATTATCAATTTCTCTAGAAGTGTTTGGTTATAAAACCCAGCCATGGTGGCTCAGCAGTAGCATACTGCTCTGCAGTGCTGGAAGCCATATGGAATATCAAGGTGCTTGTTCTGGTCTGCCTATATGCACCTGACATACACACACAACCCTGACTGGGAAGGCTCAGGAAACTCAGTGTGAGATTCTGCTGAGGGCTTTTCTCTCATTTCCTCTCTCTCCCTCTCTCTCTCTGTCTAAAGAAAGAAACAAAAAAAAAAAGTGGGACCAGCAGTTGGCATAATGGCTATGTTGCTGGACTCCCATGTAGTCGACCGCAGTTCGAGTCCCAGACCCGGTGGCTTAAACTCACTCCAGGCACGTGTGCGTGTGTGCCCAAGATCCCAAGTGGAGAATGGAGTAGAAAGGATTGTAGCATGGCCATCCCCCCTGGGGGGTGGCTTCTCGCTTTCTGGCTCTCTGTCTCTCTGGTGAGTGCACACGTCCTATAGCAAAAACTTCTCAAAAAAAAAAAAAGGAAAAAAATTTCATCAACTTTAAAAAACAGTAAGCAGGGAACAGCAGATGGCATAATGGTTATGTCACTGGACTCCCAATGTAGTCAACTGTGGTTCAAGTTTTGGACCTGACAATTTAAACTCACTCTGGGCAGGTGTGCATGTGAGCCCAAAATCCTAAGAGGAGAATGACAGGGAAGGGATTGGAGCATGACCATCACCCTGGAGGGTGATTTCTTGTTTTCTGTCTCTTTGGCGAGTACATGCACCCTATAGCAAAAATGTTTCTTTAAAAAAATAAAATAAAAAGTAAGCAAAATTTTCCAAAATTCCCAAAGTGAATCAAGTGTTCCCTAGAAAATTATTCTATTGATAAAGCTAATGGAGAACAGATGAGAAGATGAATTCTTCCTAAATCACTTGGAGTTGATCTGAAGAAACAAACTAATAAATATAACATTCCTGGACTCAAGACTTCTAGAAGATGCAGAGAAAAATGTGTGAAAGGTGTATTACTGGGGAAGTTTTATTTTCTAAATAAAATTAAAATCCTAACACTTCATTCATTTATAACTAAAATTTCTCATCTTTATACTCAGTGCTTACAGAGGAAGACTATAACAATGGTTCTTATTCCTGGCATTCAGCGAGGTCATGCACTATAGCAAATTTACTCTCCCTCCCAATTCTATGAATAGGCTTTATGTCCTTTCATCTGCCTAAAATATATCATTCACTTTGATGTATCATATTTTAAGTAAAAGTAAATATCTTTTAGAAGGCCACCCAATCTTCAGAGGTTTTTAAAGGTGGCCAATAACAGTCAACATAATTTTTGTGCATGGGGAAGAAAATCAGTAATAGCTTCCTGAGCAAGAATAATCATTAATTTTCATGTTGCCTTTTTCTTTTTTTTCTTTTTCTTTGGAGAAGTTTTTGCTATAGGGCACGTGCACTCACCAGAAAGACAGAGAGAGAGAGACAGAGAGACAGAAAGTGAGAAACCACCCCCCAGGGGGTATGGCGACACCACAATCCCCTCCTCCATTCTCCTCTCGATCTTGGGCACTCATGCACATGCGCCCAGTGTGAGTTTAAGCCACCAGGTCCGGGACTCGAACCTCAGTCGACTACATGGGAGTCAAGCAACATAGCCATTACTCCAACTGCTGATCCCTTTGTGTTGCCTTTTTTAAAATATTGGATCATTGGAAAAGTGATGGCTTTTTTCTTGGCGGGGGGAGAGATATTTGCTGTCGAGCACATGCACTCACCAGAAAGACAGAGAGAAACGGAAAGCAAATAACCATCCGCCAGGGAAGATGGCCATGCCACAATCCCTTCTCCTCCATTCTCCTCTCAGGATTTTGGGCACACAACACACACACACACACGCATACATGTCTGCTGTGAGTTTCAGGCCTCCTGGTCCAGGACTTGAATTGCTGTTGGTTATGTGGGAATCTAGCAAAGTTACCACTACACAAAATCTTTGTCCCAAGTTATGAGGCATTTTTTTTTTATGAAATTCTCAATGACCCAGTATATAAATGAGAAGAAGTAGCAGCAAAAAAATGTTAAAATTATGTCACAGAAAAGTACAGCCAATTTTTTACTTCCAGGTTCAAAGCATATATGAATAACCAGATAACCTTGCTGCTAAAATAAACATCAAAGAATTTATTAAGTGTGCAGGAATTATCAAAAAGAAAGTTCAGGGGCTAGTTGATCACACAGCAATGAAATACAATGCTCTGCACGACTGCCCCACATGGAAGTTCTGGGTTCATTTCACAGACCTGTCCTGAGTACGCCAGACATATGTGTTTGTGATCGAGGGCTGGCTGAAGCTGGGAGTATACTTCAGCATCAATATCCTGTCAGGAGTGCTGTGTCCCTGTCTCTCTATCTGTCTCCCTTTCTCTATGTCTCACTCATGGAATAAATAAACTTTTTTAAAAAAGGCAATTCACCCATAGACCAAAGAATAAAACACAAACTCCTTGAATGAAGGTGGGAGACAGGTTTTTAAAGGTTAAAGGGGCACAGAAAGGGTGGAGTGAGAACAGGTCTGACTGACCAAAGGAAAGCAAAAGAAGCAGAGTGAACAACCAGCCACACCACAGGACTGTTGAGTACATGCCTCTCCCCTCTGTCTATGTGATTACTTCTGGTCCAGGTAAATCAAGCTGTGATATAAACATTTCCACTTCATATCAGTCTAATGATTTTACTACATAAGAACATAGCTCTCAGATTAAAGTGGGAATGGTAATGTTAAAACAAAAACAAACAAACAAAAGCTTAAGACCTTTTTCCATCAGATTTTTCACTCTTAAAAAGGTGGGTCTTGTCTATGGCTCCCCGAGAGACTATAGAAGAAACAAAAATCTCTGAAATATTTATGCATAGACCTTGAACTTCCACTTTTACCTCCAAATACATATATATCAGACTGATAGAAGCTATTAATTGTGGACAAGATGGTTGCCCTTTCATCCTAAAGCCTAGTCCTATTTACAAATCATAGACACATGGAGAGGATAGAAAAATCAAAGTTTCACTGAAGCAATTCTTTTTTCTATTGTGATAAAATACACATAGTATAAAATTCACCACTGTAGCCATCTTAAAGGATAAACTCCAGTGGCATAGAGTACCCTCAGAATGTTGTATAAATATCACTACTATCTAGCTTCACATTTTTAATCACTCAAAAATAAACCCATACCCATTAGTTTCTCACCATTCTCCCATTTCACAAAACCTGGTGGAAGACACCATTAATCTACTTTCTATCTCTGTGAATTTGCCTCTTCTGGTCATTTCATATAAAACTAAGATCATACGTGGCTTTTTGTGCCTGGCTTCTTTTATGTAGCATAACATTTTCAAGGTTCCTCCATGTTACAGTATATATCAATACTTCATTCTTTTTGTGACTCAATAATATTCCATTGCATAAGTATAGCACATCTGAGACCAACCCCATGGTGCATCAGTTACCTGCTGTGCATAGAAAGTTAGACCCCATTTGGCTGGTCACAATTAGAGTCCCATCCCTAGTGACTTGAAATGACTTTAAAACCATGCTGGGCACCTGCGCATGTGTGCCCAAAGTCCTGACAAGATGGAGATACGTTGGAGAAAGGATTACAGCATGCCATACCCCATTAGAAGATGCCATCTCTCTCTGTCTCTCTTGATCTCTCTCTCTCTCTCTGGCAAGTACATGCACCACTAGCAATTTAAAAAAAAATTACATTTTGTTTACCCATTCATTAGTAGGTTGATATTAATTGATAGGCTATTTCCACCTGCAATTCCTTTTTATTTGGGGATCAAAAAAGAAACTGAAACACAGACTATTCATCCATTAATTCCACGGCCTAAATGCACCCATATTTTTAGTTTCATATTTGACCAAAAAGAATACCAAGTTAAAAAAAAATTGTTTTTTAATGTATGAAAGCAAAAACCTGGAAAGGATTTTGAGGAGCCAACACATGAGTTCTTTTATAGGTACAACCATTCTCAGTAAACATAAAAATCTCATGCTTTCTTTTAGTGTAATTTGAAATTCAAAATAAAATAAATAT